TTCTTGCAGAGGGTGGCAACATGGCAGTAGCTCAGAGGCCCAGAACATCAAGGGGAAAGGTCACTTGTCCATCAGCCTCTGCCTTGTTCTCCATTCATCATCATCTGAAAATCCCAGCCCATCAATCTGTGTTTTGTTCATGTCTGACTGTGCTGCTGCTCCTGCTGCTTGGCTGTTTGATGACAAAATCATGTCTAAAGGCAGCGCCAGCCAACCATGGGATGTTGGCTTTCAGCCCTGCCATCACCTGGCAATCAAACTGGCAGTGTCTGGGTGCTGGGAATAAATCAGCCTAATGTGTGTTGTCCACACCTGCTAGTATACTCTAGGGCATACACAGTGTCAGCCCAGAGGCTGTTCTGGTTGCATCTTCCTGGAGATGGATAGAAGTTAATTCCTGTAGATTTCGGCTGCCTTTGCTACCCTTGATTATGGAATTTGGGGACATCTCTGTGGTCCTGAACTGGGGCAGATAGTCACTCATGGATAGTTTGGTGACTGCAAAAACAGCAGTGCAGTGAGACTGCTCACCAGAGGTTCTCTAAGGCAACTGGTCACTCTGTATCTATGAAGGCCTACAGTCAGGTAGAGACATAGCCTGAGAAGTGGTGCCCTTGGTGCTGATGGCATAGACAAGTCCATTTCATGGATGAGACTGGAAATATCCAATTGCCTCTCAACCCAAATTATGTCAGCACCCTTCTCTGAAGGCATGGCTAGCCCATGCATGGTTCCACAGGCTCACAAGTTCAAAGCCCGGGCAAGGTGTACAAGTCTGCTTTCCCTCCCATATCTCAGGCAGGAAATGTGCACCTTGTCTGAGAGGCCTTTGTCACCCTCTGCCTAGGGCAGCCCAACCCAAGGGAAACCTTAGAGTCACTCACAAACACACCCAAGTGCAAGCAGCAGCTGCCTTGTTTCCCTGTAGAAATGGATGCTTTTAACCCCACATCACCCTCAATGGCTTGGCCTTGGGTACCTGACAGGCTGTGACTGGGAGAGGCTCTTAGCACTTCGCTTCACAAGGATGTGACATTTCCTATATGGAGACCTCAATTTCAGGATTCTCAAGCTCTCTGCCCTCACCCATTCTCCCAGGCTAGTCTGGGTGGGATGAGCTGGTGGTCCCGTTAGCTGTGAGCCCTTGAGTAGCTGTATTGGCTCAGGCTGCTATTCAGCAGGCTGCAGCCTGGCTGGGAGGATGTACTGCACTGTATGAGGCCCCCTTCCTTGTGATGATAATAGCTGCGCAGGTGCCTGGAGCATAGTGAGACCCTGCTAATTAATTCAAACTGATCAATAACGTTTAGTTTTCAAAACCTATTAATATGTTCACTGCTGGAGCTCCAAGAGGCTCTATCTGAGACCACAGCCCTACAGTGCCAGGCTGTGTGGACACAACAGGAGAGCTGCTTTTGCTCCAGAGAGCTCATGTTCCAAATCAGGAAGGGCATAGAGGGGAGGGAACTTTCCCAAGGTCACCCTGCAGGTCAGTGGTGGGGCTGAGGAAGAACCCAAGCTGATCTCTGGATGCCCATGCCAGGACCCTATCCTCTGGGCCCTGAAAAATTTGCTCATTTCTTTCCAAATAGCATCCCAAGGTCAGCCTGACCCTTTCATTCTGCTTTAATCTGCTAGCCCACGAGTACAGCAGCTCCAGATGTTCAACAGCCAGCTTATCCTTAGCTCCAGTTCCCTGGCAGGGGATGGCTGCAGCCTACTTAGTCCTGCTTAGACAGAGCTTCACATTGCCTCTGGACTGGAAGTGGTATCATCCTCAGGGAGCCCTGTTGGCCTTTCTCGCTCAGCTGCTAGCTAAGCCCTCCTGAACCCTTTCCCCACGCCGAGCCCTGCCCTCTTGCTCTCTAGCACAATCATGGCTCTGGAGTGCAGGAGCCAGACCTCTGCTAAGAACCTTTCCCAGGGAACCCTCCAGGCAGAGGCCCTGGGGGCTGATTTGAGCTGGTAACAGTCCCACAGAAAAGCTGATCCAGGATAACACAGGAAAGAGGAAAGGAAAGTGCATGGCTTGTGAACCTCAGAGCCAGGTAGGACAGCCCAGGGCTCCTCTATCTTCAGTGTAACCTGGAGGCATTCAGACTCCAAAGGATACAAAAGACCCTTCCTTCTGCTTGGCCTCTTTTCACTGGAATTTGGGGGGCCGGAGGGGGCCAGACATTTTTCCTGCTGCTTTAAGCAATGACTACTCAGGCTCAGCCCCACTAAAGATGACAGAAGGAGGCTGGTGACTCCTGTCCTCTCTGCTTTAAATGCCTCTGTGCTGCCTTTGAGACATATGTTGCCTGAGGAGGACAGGCAGGCAGACTGTCAAAACCTGAGAAATACAGTGCAATGCTGCCATCTCCTGGGCAGCGCACCCCATCAGATGGCAGGACAATTCTATCAGATTCTCAATCATAGAAAATTGGGGTTGGAAGGAATCTCAGGAGGTCGTCTAGTCCAATTCCCTGCTCGAAGCAGGACCTTGATACCAGACGCCTTGTACAGAGGGAATGGAAATCTGTAGAGTGTGTAACACACAAGGCAAATGGAGAGTCAGCTGCAGGGATCAGGGCCCTGGTCTTGCCCATGCTGGATGCCAGCCACCAAATCATAGTGTGAGAGATGAGGATGCTAGACACTTGTCTGGAGGCATTCAGCCCCTCTCAGGACAGGACATTTGTCAGCTGGGGTCCTGAGTGCTAGGCCCTGAGTACACCGGCTGAGGGGTGTTAGAGCACAGCTCTAACAGGGTTTCCTTGCTGTCGAGTAGGTGGGGCTTCTCCTTGCCAGATGAGAGACATGACACAAAGCCCAACCTGGGTCTGAAGATGTCTGCTGTGGACATGTACCCCCTGCCACTGAAGCAGTGTTACCAGCTGAGGGATCACTGTTTTGGCCCAAGTAGTAGAAGCTCATCCTCCTAGTGATGCCTTCAAGTTTGAACCCTGCTGATGGTGCCAGTGAGAGTGGGAAGGGGGTATTGGTATGTACACTCCTAGACTGTACACAGCACATGTACTCATCTCTGTTCCAGGCACAGCTGTGGCAGTCCCCTTCTAGCCCCATGGCCCTGGCCTGCCCCCTTTACTTCCATCTGGCTGTGATCCAGTCTACCCACACCCAGCTGACCTCTCTGCCTGTCAGCTCATGTTGTCTTTAATTCCCAGCTGTGAAGCAAAACTTGAACTGGGACATGCCCCCCACCTCCACCTTCCAAATCAAAATGGAAACTGATATAAATCCAACGGCTGTCTCTGGGCATGTGTTCATTGCTTTTACTGGGCTCTGCACTGAGTGGATAGCAGAGAGTGAGAATATTTGTATCAAGTGAGAGCTGCCAGACTTTGAACTGGGCTAAGCTTAGGTTGGGCTCCATTTCTAGGGTCATTTGAGAATATATTAAACTCAGAGTTTCCCTACCATTGTAGTGGCCCAGACATCAGTGGTATCCTTGTCTCCTCTGCCCCTGCCCCCTGGCCTGGTGTATTTTTTTCCTCATAGGATGATGTGTGATTGTGGTATGTGAGAAGGGCCAGACTGGATGATCTTGTGCATTTCTTGGGGAAATGGTTTCCTGCGAATGCAGGGGACTGGACTGAGTGGCCTGGGAGACCTCCTATCCCACATGGCTGCATTCTTGCACACCACCCAGTGTTAGCAAGTTCACCCTCCACATGGGTTTCTGCCCCACTTAAGGAGGTTTGCAGATTCCCTGTGCCCCAATCTACCCATGGATAAGTACCCCTTGTTAGCATTACCTGTTTCCATTCAGCCTCTTCAGTGCCACCCTTCCATCCCCACCACAGAGCTGCAAAGCCCTCCATTTGGCCTGCCCTAGCTTTGTAGGGGCCATAACCACAAGAAATCTTGTCCCTGCCATGCACAGTGAACATACTTAGCAGCTTTTCTTGCTAATTACCATTCTCCTTTCTTCAAAAACACAGGTTCCTGAGCAACAAATGTGACAAAAGTCTCCAGCATAGGAGGTTTTGTGGGTTTTGTCAATTCTGGACAGTTGAGAGGCCTGCATACACTTTAAACAACCTTTTAATCCTGCAAATTCCTACCCTGATCCCCTCTGCTCTTTACCTACACACACTGGAAGTTTTTCATAGGGTGCTCTGTGGCAGTGAAGTGCATGAAGGGCTGGAAAAAAAATAATTTTGTAGATCCTTTTGGACAATTGGTTGCCTGCAAACACAGGGGATTAAACTTAATGACCCAAGAAGGCCCTTCAAGTCATATGTTCCTCTAGTCTAACAAGTACTACATGCTGAGAGCTGACCGTACCAGCTCTCCTCAGAGCACTTTTCCCCTGCCAGAAGGCCCCAGGTCCAACACAGAGGTCCCCTCCCTCCAGGGAGATCAGTCCATAACCTCTCTGCAGGTCTCAGAGAGATTAGAAACCCAGATAGAGGCACCTGAAGAACACCACCTGTACGAGGTGGCCGATGCAGGGACAGTTCTGGGGTCTGCCACATCACTCTTCAGATGAGACAAACAAGGCAGAGTCCAGTCAGAAATGGTCAGCAGAGGACTCTCCTAGCAGAGGGAATCCCTTGCAGTCATAAAGCCAGGGCAGCTGGATGCAGCTGGCTCCTGCTACAGCTGTGGCCAGGCTGGAGCTGGAACAGGGCTGTCCAGGAGACAAGGCCCCTCGCCCCCCCTCAAGGGAGAGCTGAGCTAACAGCTGGTAAGTCACACTCTCACAAACACCCCTGGGCGCACCAAGCGCTCCCCTCCTTGGCCCATTCGGCTCAGGTCACACAGCAGCATTCCACTTGGAGATGCCACAAGGAACCCAGCCTTTTACAAACACGTGGCTCAGTATTTATCTGATGTTAAAAATGGACCTCTCTGAGGGCCACAGAGCCCTGGGGAGGATGACAAGGACTGCTAGCACTGGAATGTCACAGCTCAGCTCCTCTCCCAAAACATCCTCAATTCAAGCTAAATAAACAAGCTTTCATTGATTTATTTTTAAGCTAACAGGAAGGAGCAAACTATTCAGGGAGAGCTAAGGGGACTTAACTACGGGCAAGCACAGTCATATCATGCTGTGAATTACAAGGCCAGCAATAGAGATGTGTCCAGTGAAGAACATGATCCATAGGAATCTTTCCAGCAGGTTCCATTAACTTCATTGGGTCTTGAATCAGGTCCCACAGGCGCTACGGTCACGGGGTTAATGTGCTGCAATATGCACTGGTGTCCTATGTGCAAAACAGCTCTGGGGCTCAGAGTCCCACAGGCCCAGCCACTGCTATGGATCACTCCTTTACGTCAACAATCAAGGGTGTGAGGTAGTTGGAGTGTCGGATCCCAAAGCTGAAGTCTGGGGCTCTGAGCTTGGTAATGGTGATGTGTTCCGCTTTGTAATCTGCAGGTCCAGGCAAGCGCTCTCTGTAGGGCTCATATTTTTCTCTCATGCTGTAGGCAGGCTGCCGGTTCAGGTAGACATTGGGTTCAGGCCTACTGACAAAGGCTGGGCCAGGACCTGTAGCGAGGTCCTCTGCATAGCCCCCTGAGTCCAGTCTGGAGGCCATGCTGTAGCAGGGGGCAGATGACTTGACAGGGAGCTTAGGTCCCAACACGTTCATATGGTTATACCTGTTGGGAGCTGGGTTGGGGTCATACTTATGGTAACAAGTGTAGACACCCAAGGAGTAGGCCGGTGCATGAGGCTCTCCTGGCGGGTGCACGTTCTCTCTGTAGTAGGCATTTGGGGCTGGCACTCCTGATGGCTCTGGAAGGCAAGAGCAGTTTAGTATTGAGGCCATTGCAATGGGAATTCATTTCATCTCCTACGGAAGCTGAATGCACAAGATTGTGCCCATTATGGCTTTATGGAATAAGCTTTACCGGCTGCAGACATCACTTTAAATTTTGCTTGCCTTTAAAATGAGCTTCTGTTTAACCATACTTCCTCAATCTGGGGACAGAGTCAGGACAGAAAAGAGGTAAGACTGACAGAGCTGTGCACAACAGTTCAGGGCACCAGTGAAAGGGATCTGGCCAGGGATCTGTGTAGGAGATGCATTGGTAAAGCTGTCTGTTAAGGATACCGATAAAGAAGCCGTTATGTATCAGCCCAGAGAATCGATTCACACCCTCAACTGCTATAAACTGGTGCAGCTCTACTTAATTCAGTGGAGTCACCTCCTTTATTCCACCTGAGGATCTGGCCTGAAACAATCAAGAGACCGTGCCTGTGTGAAGCCTAGCACAAGGCAAAACATACTCATGTCACCGTCAAAATGCCATCTGCAATCCTTCAGCCACAGCGTGTTGTCCCAGCACAGTAGAAACCATGCACTTTTGGCAAACCTGCTCCCACCCACACCAACTCCTGCTACTGCTTAGGTACTGCCTTCCTTTCAGTCTGGGCTTCCCCTAACAACCCAGTTACCCTGGTCTTTTGCCTTTTCATTGGGTTCGTGTCCTCCTGATCTCACTGCATTAGGGCTATTGTGCAGCAGCTGCCTTCTGCAATCTGATCTCATAAGTCACTGGGGATTTTGAGAATCTTAGGCTGCCATCAGTGATGTGATTCTGCTCAGAGTAAAAGGGACTGGCAAAGCTCCCACCAACTTCAACAGGAGCAGCATCCAGTTTTAAAGTGAAATATCTCCTCAGCAGTATATGTGGTTACTCAAAATGATACCAATGTGCACTTAGTCAGCTCCAAGTCAAAATCCGTTGAGCCCCTTTGTTATATTAAGCTTGCTATCCACCACAACTGTGCTGATACCTAAGGGAAACCCCCAGTTTTGGCTCTGACAAGAAATGGCCCTGTGAGGAGAGCAGGAGACAGCTTCTGAGACACCCCCTGCCTTACTCAAAGTGGCATTGTCAAATCTGACCAAGAGGGTCCAGGCCTTGCCTTAGGACACCAGGTAAATGTAGCCTGCCTGGGTGCAGGGGCTTTTCAGACCCACAGAACAGGCACTTAAGGTATTAATCAGTCAGCCAGCAGCCATCTCAGCATAGGCATTATTGATGCTTTTCTGATGACTCCTAATAGATGTATTGGATTTTCTACTGAGAGGCAGCACCACTAGCAGACAGGGCACGACTCCAACACCATTTTTCAATGTCAGGCTACTTGGGGGAGGAGGGGACAATTAGCTGCCCACAAATCCTCTTGCTCCCACCTTTGTCTCCATGGGAAAAAGGAATGGAGCCAAAATAAGTCAGCCTTTGGCCTCCAATACGCAGCCTCTCCCGTGATACTACCAAGAGCATCTCCCGGGGCGGGTGGTAACGCAGTGCCCAAGATGGCACCAGTGAGCCAAGAAATGTTCAGTCAGTGGCACAGTCCTGTGTCTGCTCTCTGGCCAGTGGCTGCAGGATCAAGGGAGGAATAACCCTGGTCATCATTCTCATGCTCAGCAGTGGCAGGGATTTTCTCCAAGTCATGGCACTTCACACTCGTTCTAGTTCCCTGTTCTAGTTCTACAGCTACAGTGATGTGCAGTTCAGGGAAGCAGCAGGTCAGACACAAGGCAGAGGGGAACATTTCAAGGGCCTGAAGGATCCTGATGGCATGTCTGTTGCCCAGGACACCCCATCAGTCTTCTCACTTGCCGCTCTCCTACAACACAGGCCTTGGCTGTGGATCAGGCTGTGGAGGGTTGGAGGCAGTAACACAACAGCCTTAGAGAGCTCAATGTCAAGAGGAGGCACCTGCCATTTCAGGCTGGGGAGCAGCCCCTGGGCCATGGAAGATGAAATGTGGGCCTGTAACATGTGTGTTTGTGGCCAAAGCCCAGTTACACGTTCACTGGGCAGCGTATGCCAAGGCTTTCCTCCATCTCCACCAGCCACAGGAAAGTTTGGATCAGGTTCCCAGTCAAACAGGGGCCCAGAAAGCATCCACAGACAGTCTTTCCTCCACAGCCTTTGCTCACACATCAGGGAGCCCAGAAAAACACAGAGCAGCCACAGAGACCAAGGAGCCAGGTCCCAAAGCCACAGAGACAGCAAGGCCAGTTATGGTCCCACTGAAGTATATGGCAGCTTTGCCTCTGACTGTGATACTGAGAGTTGGGTTCTGCACAATCTTCCCAAGTTCTTCAGCACCTGAGGGAAACCTTCTGCTTCTGTGCATGGGCCCGCAGCCAGAGGGACAGCCAGAGCCAGAGCCCTGAGCACCTGCAGGGCCAAGACAGCAGCCACCAGCAGCCAGCTTCACTCAATCCATTCTCCTCCCTGTACCTCTCTTTAGGCACTTATGCAGACTCCCCAGGTAGGCAAATTCTTCGTTCCTCCAATTTACCTTCCTGCCTCAGAAGTACTGAAGCAATAATCCTCCCTTGTCCATGCAATCAACCCCAACTCTAACTCCATGAGCCTCCAGTGGCTCCTTTCTGCCCGCAGGTCAGTCCCTCACCTTCACAACTGTAATCCTGAGCACCTAATCCCATGGCTTCCCTCAAGACATGACCTAACTATGGCTGAGTCCTTTGTTCACCCTCCAGTATCTGAGACTCCCTTTCCTCCTAGGAGGTCATCCCCTTCAGGACCTTAGTGGTAAATGAGTCCCAGCGTGCTCCTGAACACTCAGGTCAGTAGTCAGCAAGGTAGTCATCTGCTGTGGAGATGTCCTTTCTCACAAAAAGATGTACGTTGACCCAAAGGGCTCCCAAGCCATTCCCTGGTCGCCCCCCAGCTTCTGTCTGTTTTCTCACCCCTTCCCCTGGCCCCTGAGATGATCACCTCTTTAGTGCAGAAAAAGAATCAGCAGGCTCCAAAGCTCACGATGCCTGGCACTAGTGCCTGCGCAGTAATAGGATGAATAGCAAAGGCTTCCACAAGAGGCATTTCAGATCAGCACCCTCCCTCAGTGCCTGTTGGCTAATGAGGGACCATGTGCACAAATAGAGAAATGAGAGCTGCTTGGGTCTACTTGGGAATCAGCAATGCCCAGGTCTGCCATGGCTCTCATTAGTGACATGGGCAACGCATCTCCCTTGGCACTCTAATGCTGTCCCCATTTATCTTCCCTCATTAAACCCTTCCACCTCTACCAAGCCCCTTCAAACTCCCCAGAAGGGACACATTTTATTTTTTCCTCCCTAGATGTCCTGTTTTCGGTGTGAGCATGCTTCACCAGGGATCTTCCCCAGAAGCAGGGTCTTCACATCTCATTAACTCTTCGAGCAAGAGACCATTCATTTCTCCTGAGGAAAACTCCACTACCCTGATAACCCTCTGTCTCACAGCTCTTCTTCCCTGCTGGTTCCTAACAGCTCTAGGTCGAGCAGTGATGAAAAAACTCAGAAGGATGGGGTTTTCATAGACAGGACCTCTACTAGGGACTGAGGACTGGATGCTGCACCTGAAGTTAAGGTGATGAAACCTGCCTGTCCCAAGTGCTAAGTATCAGTAAAAGACAGAGCTGTTTATGTGGCCTTGCATTTAACAAGCTTTCCAGACCCCCTGTCCTGACCTTTACAGGACTTGTAAGTAAGAAACACAGGAGAGATGAGTCAGTACACTTGGCAAATCAGCACATTAGCCCTGAAAAGAATTTGCTGTTCCCCTCAGGAACAAGTGAGACAGACACAGCAAGTTGTTCAATACTTAACATGCCAGAGACTGTGAGCAAGTCAAGTAATAGGGCACACTTCACCCTCCCTTGCAGGCACAAGGGCCTTACACAGCAGGTTGGATGAGTAGATATCCTCTCCTCCCAGAGAGGGGTAGGAGATGTCCTCTCAAATGCCAGACTGAACTACGCCAAGGATTAAATGCCCTTAGCAGACCACGGGCGGACAAGGTTCTTTGTCTATGATGTCCTTTGACCAACATGGCTACAACCTATACCCCTTAGCAGACTATGAGTGACTTCTGTGAGGAACAGGAGTGAGCAGAGTCTGATAGAAGTCCTTGGAGCAGGTTATCAAGTCATCTAGATGGGTCAGCTCCTCCACTGCCTGGTGGACATGAATAGAGTTCATCATGTATACCTCACCACAGGCATGAATGAACATGAAGTAAAACAAACCAAAGGACAATTCCTATGCCAAGTATATCATTAAGGCTAGGGACAGACATTATACATAAACTGGTTTAAGTGATCACAAACTGGTTTAAACCTGTAACAGAACAGAAGCTTGTGCACATAAACCAGTTTGAAAATGGCTGAAACTGGTGTGAGAAAAACCTGGTTGAATGTAGTATCAGATTTAACTGATTTGGCTCAGACCAGTTTATGCAATGTCTGTCCCAGATGCCTTGCTGGTTTAAATTAAATCAGACTCCCCGAGCATCCCAGCATGCTCTCTGGCTGGGTGGGGCTCTCTGCTCCATAGCAGAGCTGGCCCCTCTCCTCTGCTCCAGCAGTCTCTGCAAGCATCTGCCTGGCTTCTGCTCCCTCCCTTCCCTCCCCACTCTCTGCTAAGCAGGCATTCCCCCGTCCCTTACAGACACTTCTCAGCATCAGCTAGCAGACCACATTCTGGCTACCTCTAAGCTGTGGCAGGTGGGACAAAGGCAGAATCAACAGATAGCTGTTAATGTCCCTCTGTTTTCTTAATGGAGTGATAAACACTGAGTTAGGGGTGATAAACATTCCCTGCTGGGCTGCTCAGGAGCAGGGGTGGGGGAGGATGGACCCCTCCCTAATCATAGTGTCCTGCTTGGGCCTGACCACACCCCCCTCAGCTCAGCACTATGGAAGGGAAGGGAAGGGAGGGCTGCTCTAGTGCCCCCCGGCTTCTAGCCTGAGCCACTGCAGGCATGTGCCTGCATTTCTTGGATGTCTGTCTGGTTACAAACTGGTTTAGCCTAGCTGGGTTAGACTATCCTGCAAAGATTGAATCAATTCAGGTTTAGGCGTTTTGAATGTCTATCCCTAACCTAAGTCTAAGGGGCAAACTGGGACCATACAGCTGGCATGGAGACAGTGGTTTCTTAAAGATGTGAAGGCAAAAAAAATTGGTCCAGTTGAGGCAATGATGAAACTGAGAAAGAAGGTGGAAAAAGCCAAGTAAGAAGAAAAAATAACATCTGTTTCTATATCAGTATTCATCGGTTGCCACATCCAGAGCAAATATGATGCGTGGGTATTTGGAATACCACTTAATTTCTATATGTAGGCCAAAGGCCTATCCATGATCTGAGATCCCTGATGTATTCTCAAAACATGAACAGATACAGAGATTTCTTTGCAGGGCAGGAGCCCACTGTTTCTCCAGAAGGGATGCAGATTGATCTCTGAGGTAACCTGGTTTCCTATATGCAAACTGATGCCCAAAGAACTTGCTCTGCCTTTATAGATTGTGTGGTTTCTGTGGGAAATTAGAGATGACATCACCTCGAGCAGTCCCATATTCTGGCAGGGACCTTGGCTTAGACACTCATTTACTGGCATCCCTGAGCTATGTAATCATGAATGGAAGTGTCCTATTTTTAACTGTATCCTCTGGATCCCTGGACTCTGTGGCTTCTTAGCTGAATCCCTTGAGGTTTCTTTCCTCATATTTGGCTTTTCGCCAGAATGGGTAGGGTTTGGCCTCTGTGTGAGGGCCACAGAGCTGCTGCAGACTTGCAGTTTAACAAGTAAAGCACTGGAACAGGTTACCCAAAGAGGTTGTGGAAGCTCCATCTTTGGAGGTTTTTAAGATTCGGATAGATATGGCTTTAGCTGGGATGATATTATTGGGGATGGTCCTACTTTGAGCAGGGGGTTGGACTAGATGACCTCCTGAGGTCCCTTCCAACCCTAATTTTCTGTGATTCTAAGTTTAACAATAGAATATTCACATGGCTGCTCTTTATAAGGGGGCATCATGGTCCAATAATTAAAGAAAAGGAATAGCAGATAAGACTCCTACTGTGGCCTTCCTTGGCGTTATGCAGCAGAGATAAATTCTCGCAAGGACAGTGAGTTGCTTTCTCCCAAAATGAGACAAGGAACTTTCTCAGAATAAGAAAAAACAGTATTTTCCCTTCAGATACTAAGCCCCTGCTTTGCCATAAAGTTTCTACCTAGAAACATCACCAGCTTTGCTTCTGCCTGGGTCCCTAACACAGATTTAAAGAAATAGTCCCTGTATCCTTCGTCTTTGTACATCTTCTAAAGCTTCAAGCATAGCCACACTGCTATAGTCTTAATAGTGATTCCAACCAATTTCCTAGGATTCAACATTCACAATGGTGCCTATGTTTCTAAATTTGAAAAACCAAGCTGCATATGACTTCACAGCACTGCACTTTTCAGCTATCCTGTCATTTGCATGGAGCTGTGTTCAACATTACAACACAGTAAGCCCTTGCTCCAATACCTTCCCCCTGTGGATCTCAAATCTAATCAGACAACATTACTGTCACCTCGGCTTCTGACACCTATCTCCTGTTACAATTCTTGCATTGCTGCCATCTTTTGAGTGGCAGCAGATATCCAGAGCTTTCACCTAAGCTTCACAGGAGGGAAGAAAGCACAGATAACACAGAGTACATGTACCTTGCATATCAGTCCTGAAAAAGAGATGCTCAAAAATCATGCCAACAGCCCCTTCTTCTAAGACTCAGTTCCCACAGATCAAACTGCCTCAAGAACTGCCCTTGATCAGAGACAAAGACAGGTAGCAAATCTCCCAATACCTGGACAACTCTCAGTCCAGAAGTTGCCTTTGTAGGGAACCTTGCATCACCCCCAAACTAAATGTCAAGTCTTATATACAATATACAAGTCTTCCCATGTCCAAACATTTTTTCACATACCATATGCAATACAGAACTTAGAAGGCTATGTCTACAGCACAACCTGCCCTGGCATTAATAGGTTTATTTAGCAGGCAGAGAAACTGAGGCACGGAGCAGTCTGAGTGAGTTGGATAAAATTATACAGAAAGTCTTTCAGAAAGCCAGGAATGGAATCCAGGTTTACTCCCTCTTCATCTTGCTGCCTTAACCTCAGGACCTGTCTCCTTCCCTTAAGTTGTGGGCATATTATTTGAAGACCTCAAACAAAGAGGTTTCAGCCATGCTCTGGAAGGTGGGGCAGGCAGTTCTCATCCCCAGCAAATTCAGATTGTGCCTCTCAAATCATTATGGTAACAGATGGATAGAGTGCTATCCTCTGATGTCACCGTTAAACCCTTCAGTAGCATCTTAACTTTGTAATTCAAAGTCATTTATCTTTCACTCCATAACTAAAATCCAAAGTAGTTGAACGTAAAACTAAAGGCACAAAGCCCTTTGAATTCCTTGGCATTATTTCCACGTGATTTTCACTGGCTTTGTTTGTATGTTCATTCAGGCAGTCACATCCTCAACATCCCAGAGTCCCCAGGCCGTATGAAGACAAAGCAGCTCTGATTACTGAACAAACCAAGTCACTCCCTCTGGTATCCTTCATCCTTCCCCTGGGTAAAACAAATCTCACAGGTACTCACATATCTACCCAGCTGTTTCCAACCACAACAAAAAGCCACAACGCTTCATATTATCAGTTTACTGATCTGATGCAGTGAAAGCAGCTGGACATAATCGACAGCAGTTCCCAGATGTAACTGTTGTTAAGGAGTCAAATGTTTTTTGGGGGGGCAGATGGGAAGCTTCATCTCACCTCTATATAAAGCCCTGTCAAAACCCCAATCCTCAGCAGATGCGATGCATGCAAAGTTGCGCAGTGGCATTTTTGCTAGTTTTTATTTTCTGGCTAATGTCAATGTTTCTGAGAAGGCTTTGGTTTATAATAACCATTGCCAGGGTCTAACAGGACAAGGTGGGTTTGTCTAGGAATTGACAGGAGGGACTTAAGAACATACAAGGAAATTTGTCAGAGTAGGTGTTTCCTCCCACTAATCCTATTTCTCTTTTTCCCCAAGGAGGACATGGAGATCACAATGAAGACCTTACAGTAGTTTTAAATGTAGATGGTGACCCAAAGCCCGCTGAAGTCAAGGAGCATCTATCCACAGATCTCAAAGGACTTTGAATCAGGTAAAGGTTACTCATCTGCCAAAGGCTGATATGATGTTAGGCACACACCATCTGAGACACTCTGCGTTGTCTGCCTGACTAAACATTAAGTGAACTGGGTATGTGACTTAGATGCTGGTCCCTGTTGGCACCTATAGGCATGTACTGTAGACGCCTGACCCCTGATGTGTCACAAAGCAGGCAGAGCCCAGTCTCCAAGCTCCAGTGCAGCCCTCAGGAGCAAGGCACCTCTAACAATGAGCTTCCTGTTAGTCCTGCAATTGCTTGCTGAAACTCAACCCAAAAATGGCACCAGGTGCTTTGATAATGAATGTACAATGCTATGCAGGCTATGGCAGACTTTAATCATACCCACTTTAATCAGTCTGCTAGGCCCCACCCAAGGTCAGGGTGTTTCTGGGTAAAGATCTCTCCCCCCTACCCTTCCTTCTTTCTTTCTTTCTTTTTTTTTCTTCTTTTTTTTTTGAGAACGAGACAAGTCTTCTGATCTTTCTTGGTGGGCTGTGATTGGCTAATATTTCCTGGCAGCCCTTCTAGCCCCTGGAGAATCAGAACTTGTTGATCTATATAAATGCTACTTACTTGGCTCCCTTTCTCGGTCAAATATGACTGATAATGGTATCTTCTGCTTCCCAAATCGGGAGACATGGGGGTCTACAAAGTAACAGGGACCAGGGCTGACCACGTCAGTCAAGGCTATAAGAGAAAGGAGAAGAATCAAGTTCAGGATATGATGTGAAATGTCAGTTCCCACCTACTCACAAGCTATGACTGACCCTCAGCTGTGTCACTGGTTCATCTTCTTTTGCCCCTCAACTGTCCCTTAAAGCTGTGGCCCTTGTCACTAAAATGCACAGGAACAGAGAGGCTGGACATGATGACCACGTATCTTCCTACTGAAGTCTCTTGCCTTTGCAGACAGCAGAACAAAGTGCCCATAGAGAATGTGTCCATGGGTTGACAGCACATATGAACACTTCACTTCCTGACACCATTAGGGTAAGGAAGCACTGCTTTCAGAACAACGTATATTTATCTTGTAAATTAATGCAGCTTGGGTGCTCAGTCCATAGACATTCAGGCATAAACTGAGCTATTACATGCCAACTGGGTGGTCAGTCCATAGGCTTTTGGGGTTTAGTCAGGTTAAAATTCTTTCCCTGTGTGGTCTGAAGGAAAGGTAACCAAACTCATCTTGGATTGTTGTAGAATAGGGCACTGTGGGCCAAATTCTCAGTTGGTGTAAATTGGAAAAGCCCCACCATTGCAGTGAAGCTACCCTAATTCACATCAGGGGGGATCTAGCTCAGTCTCTCTAAACCTCTTCCCTTTCCCTTTATCCTCACTTTTTCCTGTGTGTTTTATATGCATTGTGTAGGCTGGTTCTGCAAACATGGTGAAGTCATGATTCATGAAGCCAGTGCAAGGCTTCCTGGCATATTTTGCAGGCCCTGGACCTGGAACACAAAGAGAAACTTTCATTTAGAGCGTTAACATACAAAGACACAAGAGCCAGGAAATACATAAAAAATGTTCAAACCAGAAAAGGGTCAAGCTCTAAGATCTTTGAGAAATGACTTCATGCCGTCACTTATGTATCATTTTGGCTCAAGAAGTAACCTTGAAGAGAATGTGATATAACGAGGTGGTCTCTAGCTCCTACCCCAAACCCTAGTCTAAAGAACTGTGTGAAGTTGTCAACCTTAGATGAGGATGCTTGTGGCTTCTCACCTGCCTGGTACCCTAGGCCTCATGATAAGTTTATACCTACTTATCTTTATCACTAAGGCTATACCTATCTCTTACCCTCCCATTCTCTGGAAAATTATGGTGATAACTTTATCCCAGTGAAGAATCCAGCCACCTGCCCCACATCATTTCAGGGTATACAGATGACTGTAGAGGCTGCTGTCTTCTCATAAAACAATCTCTACTCTTGATATTCTGTCAGTCTCGACAGGGATGTGATCCTTAAACTGTTCTTGGAGAAACAGTGACCTAAGAAAGTGGTTAGCAGTCCATTTTCTTTTTACTTTCCAAAGCTGTGGGGGAAGCTGTTTGAGGTGCCACTGACATCCCACCAAAGACAGGCACAACCTTCAGATTGCTGGTTCCTTCTAAACTCTCTCCCCTCCGTGGTCTGCACAACCCCATCTAGCTGCATATATTCTCTTCCTCCAAAAGACCTTCTCCCCTCAGGTTTGTCTATCTTTCTGTCTTTCTATTTACAAATAAAACATCTATAAGAATGTTAACTTCCCTCTGAAGTCTATGGTTGAAAATGCTAAGCATCAATAACTATTATCAATAACTGCTATCACCACCTCCACCCTCTGTCTGTCTGTCCATCTTCTCCTTATCTAACCCTTTGCCAGTCTAACTATCGTTTTGGGACACTGAAGAATTTCTACTCACTCTGGTTACCCTTCAGTCCTTCTCTCTACCCAAAACCATGGTACCCAGGCAATTCAGTAAACCTAATGCTTCTCAGAAAGGTTGGAATTAGCCAGAAAATACAAAGTAGCAAAACGGAGAGCTGAAGGAAAGCAGCGATGGGCAGGACTGCTTCACCCTTAATTTGTGGTTTTGAGTAGGATCATTTCTGTAAGAACTTCACTCACCCTTGATTTTTGAACTGATTGGCGGGAACCGCTTGACTCCTGATGCTTCTGTGGCTGAGGGTCTACACCCACCATTTCCAAAAGTGACGGTTTTGCTTTTAGCCCTGGAAATCTCCATTGAGGGATGCTGCGGGGAGTCTTTCTAGCTTCCCTTGACAGCTGGTACCCTTCAAATATATACCAATAACTAACTAATTAAAGAAAGAAAACAAGCACAAGCTTCTTGCCAGTGGGGTTGTGGCAACAATGAACCTAAGGGGCAGAGTGACAAAGTCAAGACATGAACAATAGACCTGGCATAGCCAATGACTTCATGGCCCATTATAATCTACCTCATAATAGTTAACCTCTGCACTTTACTCCTCACTTAACGACCTACCCGTTTAACGACCGAGTCGTAGGAACGTTGCTCGGTCGTTAAGTGAGGAGTGCCTGTACTTTCTCTTATATCCTATTTTGGTTTATTTATGGAGTTTTACACAAGCTATTGTTACATCTGCTGCTTATCTCTGCTGTGTCTAATTCTTTCCCTGTGGCCTGAAGAAAGGTACTGAGATACCCAAATACCTTTCTGCAAAGATACCGTGATACCCAAAATTGCCTATGTCTACCCCAACCATGCAGTTGGTCCAATAAAAGATTTCACCGACAAGAACTCTTGCCTCTCACATATTTCCTATACCGTAATGGCAACAACATCACCTCGACATTTCCAAAATCAAAACAGCTGTTCAGGAAAGGTACAAGAGAGGTTAGAAGGGCTTGACATTACTGGTTGATTCTGACTGATGACTTGTGTTGCTGTGGCTTCAATTTAGCCAAGGATTAAGCGCCTAAAATTAAGTTTAAAACAACCACCCAGATCCTCCTTGAACTTGTCTCGGAGTTCTTTTTTCTTTTGCACTCTTTTGAACATTAACAGTGGCTCCAGCTCCGATTGGTCTGCTGCCTGCCAAGGCAATGATGTAAGTGTAGATTCTGGAACGCTGGTTTATTTCCACATCACCATGGTGCTACAAGCATGTTGTGGAACAACTGTCTCCGGTGCTGAGGAGGCCAGATGACCCCTCTCCTTCCCACCAGGTGGGCATTAACTCTGTATAATGCCCACCAAGGAGAAGAAAGCCTCAGGCAATTACTGAGACATATATTACACAGATTAGGCAAGCTCTAAAGGGTGATCATGTTACCAGCAGCCGCTGCTGTTGTAAAAGAAAGATTTAAAGAAAGAGCTTTTATGAGCTTGGCAGCCCATGGTGGTATTACAGAAAAATGTGTACTCTTAAAAAAAACCTATTAACGGTTATCTGAAGGGAGGTGGCTGCTGAAGGGAGCTTTCAAAATAATTTGTATCAATCCAAAGAGTCCAGCGGATGGGGAAGTAGAGAGAGAACTGAGTTCTAAATATGGCTCTGCCACTGATCTGCTCTGTGGGAATTCATTTCCTCACTCTGACAGCATGGACATATGAACAACTTAGCATGATGGGGTACAGTGGAGAGGGGCTTTACTGCACATTAGTTATTCTGCAGTAGCTGCCTATGAGTCTGCTCTTAGCCCACAATAAATAGATAAACCATTGCAATTTACTGCGATTTTATCAAGGGCTAAAACTGTGGGTTTCTTCTACATACAATACAGTAAGAGCACACACATGGGCACTTACCATGAAACAACTGTTATGCGGTAAAGCCCCACTTTCTTTTGCCCCGGGATAAATTGTCATATCCTAGACTGCTTCCTTTTCCCACGCTGTTTGTGCTGTCTATTTAAACTTGAAAGATCTTCAGGGCAATAACTGTCTCTCACTATTTCTACAAGCAGCACCCAGCATAATAAAGCTTCAATCCTGGCAGGCCTATAATGCAGAATGTTATAATTCCCCAGCCTATTGATTTGATCAGGACAGGGAGTAGCCAAGCTTGGATTCTGTTCCTGTCTCTGCTACTGGGAATGTAGGACCTTACTCTCCCTGTGTCTCAGTTTACCCATATATAAAATGGGTATAATAATACTGCACCTCCCTAGCTTAATTGGGTGCTCTGAAAGTTTCAAGAGAAACTATGGCATAGGCTAAAGACAGATTAAATTCATGCACATAAACAACACTACACATTCCCATACTCCCTCCAGGAGTGAAAATAATCAAAGGAAGTTAACAGAGGAACGCTGAATGTACCCCTGAGGCACTCATCCACTTGAGAAGCTCAGCTTGGTGTCCCAGGGCTGGGAAAGTCTTTATAAAAAGAACCACTTGTGGGCTACACCACTGCTTGCATGTTGTCATGCTTGGCACCCTGATGGCCAAATCGTCTGTGAGGAAGATCCAGGCAATTTTGAAACAACTCATTCAAAGGAAGAATGGCAGTTCCTATAAATCTGCAGAGCAGCCACCAGGCGGGAGGGCTCATTGCAGAGAGTGGCACGGCCACACCCATAGAGGGATACTGTTTCTAAGCCCAAATTAGTAGGTTTCAGTTGAGCAGAAAACTTTGCTTCTTAGTGGCATCCATCCACTGCAGTTTACTCTCCTCTGTATCAGTCCAGATGTTGACTAGGAAAGAAAAATAAACCCATAGCCATCAGAACCTACCAAGAGTAACAAAGCTGCTCTCCAGACCCTGGGCTCCTCCTGAGTTTATATTTCAGCAAGCTGCAACACTGTGCACCACGGTGCTCAAATAAATACAAGGAGGGATTCAAATGAGGTGGAGGGAGGATGCTGGAGTGGGGGAAAGGCTTTGGGTGGTTGATGTGTTGCTACAGAAGCAGCATCTCTCTTTGTATACAAGAGCCCATCTGGAGGGATTTTCCATCTTTGACTTTAATTCTTTTATTTCCTTTATTTATTGTGCTAAAATGATTGATCACAGTGGAATAGAAAAAGCATTATGGTAGGGAAGAAGAAACAGCTGCAACTCCACTAATTCAGACATCTGGGCTAGGTACAGACAGTCAAAAAGCTGAATCGATTCAGTCTTTGCAGGTTACTCTAAGCTCCACAGATTACACTGAAACAGAAGTGAACAGACATTTACCTTTGATACAGGAAATGTAGCCACATACCTGCAGTGGCTCAGGCCAGAATCCTGGAGGCGCTAGAGCTGGGCTCTCTGGCTGTGCATTCACTTCCTCTTCCTGCTGCCCTGGAGGTCTCTGGAATTTGCAGTCCAGAATTACAGCAGCAGGACTCTGCAGGTTTGCTAATCACTTCCTCTATGTGCTTTCAGGTGCCTCTGAGATTTGTAGTCCACTGTTGCAGCCAGCAGTGAGTTTGAACAGGGGAAGGGGTCTTTAACCCCCCTCCCTGGCCCTAGACCTGAGCTGGGGTTTGCCTGGGGGGTGTAGTCCCCTCCATGCAGACTAGGCTACATCCCCAGCCAGCCTCCACCCCACTTGTCAGCCAGCTCTCACTGCTCCAGCTAGGGAGCAGAGGAGTGGGGCCAGCCCTGCTCTCTGAAGCAGACAGCACAGCCCAGCCCAGCCCAGGGCTGGAAAGCATTCTGGAACGCTGGGGACTGTGATTTAATTTGAACCAGGAGGGCTCTGAGACAGAAGTTTCAATTATACTTAGGCTATAAGTTTTTTGAAGCAGGGGCTTCTTTTTGCTATATGTTTGTGCAACACCTGGCACCTGGGAATCCAAAACCCTGATCACAGCCTCTGTGTATCACTGCAGTGATAAATAGTAAAGATGAAGGTGATCTGAGATCTACAGTGCTACTGAAAGAAGTCTCCCCACAGATATTCCAGACAAGCCAAAGTTTGAGGTAAAGAAGAGAGACTTGGGTCAGGGTACAGCAGTAATATGAAATTCTTGGTATATGCCTGAATCCTCTGTCATTCTCTTGCTTCACTGGCAAACCATAGATCGAGCGCCATACATAGCAAGGTTGCTAATCAACACACAAGTTCATAGACTCCAGCACAGAGGAAAATGGAAATGAACAGGTTGAGACCTTAGCAATCCACCTGTCATCTGAAAACCCAGTGCTCCTCATATAACACATTGCACACACAAGCAGCAGGACTCTGCAGCCCAGCCACTAGCTGATTCCCTGCCACTCTGAACAAAGAGGAAAGCACTGCTATGGTAGCAGCCTGCACAGGTGGAAATGTCTGGGCAACGGAATGAGCAAATGGAACCTTAGCTCTTGATCATTAGCAAGCAGTCTGAGGCTCAGGGTGAGGTGGGTTCCCAGGAGCTTACCCACGCTTTGTTTAACCAGCCAAGTTATCTTGCAGCACACGCTCTGTGTAAATCACTGCACTGACCCAATATGCTAGCATCTAATGTTTATATCACAGGCTGCTCTTGACATGAACCAATCCAAGTGAATCCCAGGAAGCCCTACGTGGAGCTTGTTTGGCCAGCAAGCACAGGTTTCTAGTGTCTGTGCACACATACACGCTAATCAGCCGAACGAATAAACACATGCATGCAAAACAGAAAGGCCAGTTCATCCTCCCTCAAGCCACAGGAAAATAATGTCACTTTGGGAATTATTTTAGCAGACGTGAAACTAACTGATACTCAAAACTGGACAGTGGCAATATAAGCTCCTATATGAATGAATGGCATGTTTTGGATATATCTACTCTGTTCTAAACTGAAACACAGCCCTAACCCTGGAGCTTTTGATAAGCTACTTCATTATGAAACAGCTCAAGTTATTCACTGCCTCCTTTCCAGATACAGAGAGATGGGCCCAGTCTTCAAAGGTCTGATCCAGATGTGGAACTAGATGTGGACAAAGTCCATATTCTGTTGCAGGGGTTTGGTTTAATCCGAACAAAGCACTGACAGCTCTTGGAGCTGTCTGCCTCTCAGTGGTGAGGAGACCAGCCAAGGGCTCTGCATTCTTTTGAATGATAATGCTGACATCAGTGGGCAACCAGAGTACAAATCAATGGCTGAGTAATGACAGAGTAAAGGACAGAGTAAAGGACTCCCATTCCCATGGGCAGAGGAGAGAGATCTATAATGGCATGGAGCCAGGATCATTTAATCAATGATTATTCCCTCTAGCTGCCACAATCTAGTACCTACAGTGGGTTCCCCTATTTCACAAATCAATCTGGGCTTTCCTGCTTCATCCAGGCCCTTTTGTACAGCAA